AGTACAACAAGAAGCTACATTACCAAACTGTTTATAAATTTGGTATTTGTACGGTAATGATAATACAATTAGGAATAAATACAGTATTTTAAAGGACCAAACCCAAGTTTGTTATTTACGGCTAATCAACAATTTATTATACTTCTTCATGAAAATTAAGACTAAATTGCCAATAAGTGTGACGATAAGTGTAAATTGCTGTTTGTTATTAAGATTAGTGTTGCGTAATATGGCAATGACATGTGAATATTTAAGTAGGCTATACATAAGGTTTCTTGATTTATTAAAGTGAGCATATTTCCCTCGTAGCGGTCTCCCACAAGTGTTTCATGGTGTCAGGAATCTTGTACCGAACCTACGTGTTTTACCTTTTTTTCTCGCGATTCTGGGTGGCGAAGGCACGAAGGGGCCGTTGCATCGCAGAATTCGGCGGGAGATACTGTGAGAGGTGCTTTTGTTTCCTTTACCGCCACCTCCACCGCTTGATATTCATGATTTGAACGCAGCAGGAAACTGGAAAGAGTCTGAGCAAGCTTGGAAGAATTACTCGATTGCCATGAATTTGCACCAGAAACCCGAAGCCGTACACACTGCTAGCAGCATTGCTTGCCCTAATCGGACTGAGGCGCGAAAAGTTTTCGCTACGTTTACGAATTGGACGAGTGATACCGACCAAAATAAGATCCAGCCAGTGCTATAAAGGTTTGCAGCGTACTATCAGCCACTTAAAAACGTGCCTTTTGAAAGATACAACTTTTATTCTAGAATGCAATAATCGGGAGAGTCTTAATATCATTATCGGACAGCTCTTCGGCAGTTAGCAGAAAGGTGCGAATTTGAATCGATTACCCCGAATCAGATTTTACGCGACAAGCTCTTGCTTTTGAAATTCGAGATTCAAAGGTTCGTGAGAAGCGTCTTAAAAAGAATTTGTCGTTAGAGAAAACGGATGAGATTTGTCGCTTTCATGAGAACATGGTACTGCAGATGAAAGGATGTCTGTGATGTCGGTTTAAGCGTTGCAGATGCGAAAAACTAGGGGCTAAAGGAGGGAGACGTAGGCGCGGTCGTGGCTCGAGAAATGCTGGCGCGCGGGAAAATAGCTGTGAATTTTGCGGACGTGAGCATGATTTAGCGAAGTGTGAGAATTGTCCGGGTTATGGAAAGAGCTACAATAAGTGTGGCAAGAAAAATTATTTCGCAAATATGTGTTTTGGACACGTGCCTAAGCCCAGGTATCGCTCGCGTCTTGTTAATTGTTTCAAGTATGAGCTGCCGGATGAAGTTTTTGGTGTGGCCGAAATTTCGGCAGTAACCTTATATGATTCTCAACTGGTAACGCTGAAGTTGGAATTTGGAAATTATTGACCAGCTGACCAGCTGTTGTTTAAGAGGTTTCGTCGTGTCTTTGCTGATGGCGTAGGTGTTCTTGCAGGCGAATATCACATGGTGCTGGATGAGTCGGTTAGGCCAGTTCAACAACCTCCTCGCAGAGTTTCATTCGCCATCCGCGAACGTCTTAGAGAGACACTGGAATATTTTGAGAAGCGTGAAATTATTGCTCGAGTGACAACGCCCACCCCTTAGATCAGCTCGATGGTTGTTGTACGAAAGAAGAATGGCAAATTACGCATATGTTTGGATTCGATGGATCTAAATCGTGCTTTGCATCGGGAAAACTATCATTTGCCTACGATTGAAGAAGTACCTTCCCGTCTTCACGGAACAAAAGTTTCACGTCCCTTGATGTTTCCAATGGCTTCTGGCATGTTGTCCAGGATGAAGAGTGTTCGTTCTGTACTAAGTTTAATACGCCATTTGGAAGATACTGTTAAAAAAGGATGCCGTTCGGGATCAGACCTGCACCTGAAGTGTTTCGGAGTAAAATGAATGAGTTGGTTGAAGGGTCGAGGGGTCTTGAGGTCATAGCGAATGATTTTGTTGTTTTGGGTACGGTGAATCGTCGCATTCTGCAATTAAAGACCATGACGGGAATCTTCTTCCGTTTCTCGAGAAATGTGATGAGCGCGGAGTTCATTTGAACAAGAACAAGTTGCAGCTTAGAATGAAAGAAGTCTCTGAGAGAAAGTCAGACGTTCCCCTGTGTCTTCGACGCTATTTTCACCTGCGTGATGACTTGGTTGTTCAAGGTGATTTAATTTTCAAGGGCCGGCGTTTCGTTGTTTCGTCCAGTATTCGCAAGGAACTTATGTCAGTGGTTCATGCGACCCATATTGGTATCGAAGGCTATTCAGGAGGGCCCGAGAATGTCTTTTTTTGGCCTAGAATGTCGTCTGATGTCAAAGACTATGTTTCCAAATGTGACGTGTGTTTGGCTCATCGTACCTCCCTTACTAAGGAACCGCTCCTTCAATACGAAGTGATCGCAAGACCATGTGCCAAGCTAACCGCTGACTTGTGTGAACTGCATGGGCGGACCCTGTTGGTTGTTACTGGTTATTTTAGCAACTACATCGAAGTGGCGCGTCTCTCCGCTACCTCAACTCAAGCTGTTGTTCGCCAGTTGAAGACCACGTTTGCGCGTCTTGGTATTTCTGAGATCCTAGTGACGGATAATGAGCCATAGTTTTCGTCTAACGAGTTTCAAGTATTTACTAGGGGATGGTCTTTCAATTATGTCACTACATCGCCTCGCTACCCTCAGTCAAATGGAAAAGCCGAAAACGCTGTGCGGACAGTGAAGAGTCTGTTTGAGAAATGCAAAGAAACCTGTATGTCAGAATTTGAAGCTCTTCTTGAATGGCGAAATACGCCTCCTGAGGGAATTTTTGAAACCAGCCTGGCACAGCGCCTGATGGGACGTCGATGCCGTACGCTACTTCCGATGTCAGAGTCTCTTTTACAACCAGGTTACTCATTGCGTGGTGATCTGCGTGCGTTGGCCGAAAGGAAAAATGGCCCTATATTATAGCATGGAGATTTCTTATGATTTATTCTGGTTTGTTTGAGGTCCTCAAAAAGAAATTTTTTTTGTCTTACAAACTCTCCTTTCAAATATCATCACATTTTATTGGGTAAGATTCAATATAATTACTAAAACGTTTAATTAATTGAATTTTCGTCAAGTGAAGATATGAGGCGATTGACTTCGTTCCATTTAAAAGATAAACAAAAAACTGCAATTTGCTTACCATACTCAAAAGAAATTTACTTACAAACCAGGTGTTTGCTTGGACCTTTATTTTTTAAGTAAGGGCAACTTGATAGGTAACATGAAATTAATTGAAAAAATAATGAGCACTCCAATCGAAAGCCTTCAATTTCATTACCTACCCTGGATATCATGCACTAACTTCAAATGTTTTGAATCCATCAATCACTGTATACATGTTATACAATAAGTGTAAGCCATCAAGGGAACTCTGAGTTCACCGATTTCAAATTATTCTCAAGGCTTGTTTTCAAAAGTGATATGTAATTGAATCTTAAACTAAAATTGCTATTCGTTTCTTTTTTTTTTTTTCTCAGTGGGCTATACGGCTAAACGTTTGCGGTGCGGTTCTTATTCCGCGGGTGTTTACTATACTTATAAAATGACTCCTGGGTTCAAATCGTTCACTGTGCTACCAAAATATGCTACCAAAAACAATGTACCCCGCTTTTTTGGACCATTAGCTTAAAATAAGGGCAACTTGACAGGGAACATGAAATAGATTGAAAAAATAATGACTACTCCAGTCGAAAGTCGCAATTTCATTATCTACCCTGGATCTCACTCAACAGTTATAAGTGATTCAAACGTTTTGAATCCATGCACCAATCAATACATGTTATACGAATAAGTGTTAGCCATCAAGGGAACCCTGAGTTCACCGATTTCAAATTATTCTCAAGGTTTGTTTTTAAATGTGATATGTAAATGAATCTTAAACTAAAATTGCTGTTCCTTTTTCTTATATATATCTCAGTGGTTTATCTAAACGTTGCGGTACCTTAGTAAAAATAAATATTACAATTCCCTCTATTGTTCGATTCAAAACTCAGTGTCAGGCAAATAAACATCATTTAATCTTGTCTTTCGAAAGATGAATTAATGTAAGGTATTTTCCTATCCTGGTGATGGGTATGTTTGTTTTCAAATAGATCGACATTAATAGAGGGCGGATATTAAAAAAATCCATTGCAAAACCCGATTAAAAATTAATAACTACTTTCTTACTTCTCAACTATTAGCGCCATCGGAGCTGAAGTAGAAACGGAATCTAAGTTTCTCTCAGTCTGCCGGTAAAGAATCAAGTCTGACATTCAGTTCATTTTAAGGCATTCATTACTCTCAGTTATGTCTGATACAACTGACTTGGTGTTTTTGTGCATTCTCATTGTTTTGACTATCGTCATTCTCATTGCCAACATGTTTACTATATTTGCTTTCTGGATTCATCGCAAAAACCTAAAACGAGCATTTTTACTTGTTATTAACTTGGCCTTTGCCGATCTTTTTGTTGGATTCACTGGAATTATGACCGTGATTAGGCATTTGCTTTTCAGCCACAAACTGCCTTCGACTCAGAACGTTCAGTAAAAGCTCACAAATTGTCATTACGAAGAATAAAAAAGATTCATAAATAGTAATAAAGATTAAAATAATGTAATTCAATATACAAGTCGACTTAAGTTTCCATTAGACCTTTGACATATTAGGACGATGCTCATAAAAGGGTTATGCCCTGTAAGAAAACGTATGTCCTGGATGACTGTCTGTGATGGCGAGAGCTTCAGCCAATCAGAAATCAGGATTTAAGATAAAATATTCCAAGATTTTTACTTGTCAGTTATTTTGGTATTTAACGACAGAAAACCATCAATCGTGGATGTATTAGTGCCACCAATCTGTATCACAGCACAGGCTTTCGCATAACGAAGAATCTTGTCGCTCGATTCTCGCAATCTGGGTGCGGTTAAACAGTGCACGGAGCTAAAACGACACTAAGTTAACGAAGGCTTCAATCTACAGCAGCAGCAAAAGCAGCAGTATACTAATGTCAGAACAAACAGCAACCATTGCTTCCCTTTGTGTTTCCACTCTTCAATCTCTCATCGTATTCGCTGCTAATTTTCTCACCATAGCTGTGTTTTGGATTCACCGAAACAAACTAAGACGAACTTACTTACTTCTTATCAATTTGGCCGTAGCCGATCTTCTCGTTGGATTCGCATACATGACACCATATTTGACGGTGTTAGCACTTCCTAGTTACATTAGAAAATCTAAACTTAATGGCAAGACTTATGACTATCTTGTAATCCAATTTCAAGTTACATTTTTAAGTACATCGATGTTCTTTCTGGTTCTTATTTCTCTAGAACGTGCATTTGCTTTGATTTGGCCGCTTCTCCATCGAACAACAAGCACGAAGACGTTCATCTACGGTGTCGTCACTGCATGGTTAGCAGGTGTTTCTTTGGGCTCACTAACCTGGCTGGTTAGCTACGGAATATTTGAGATTTCTCACTATACCCTCACATTTTCAATCGTAATCGTCTTATCACTAGCAACGATGTGCACATCATACCTAGCAATCCGAAAAAAACTTAATCGCAGTGACCCTACAATCGAAACAGGACATCAGCGACAAATCGTTGAGCAAAACACAAGAAAACTTTCCAAAACTTTGTTCCTTATGACAGGAGCATCTGCTGCCTTTTGGGTTCCAAGCCTAGTTTTATTTTCTTGTCTTTATTTCTCCCCAGGAATGTTTCCTGAATTTATGAAATATGTTTTAACTATAATTCATATGTGCAATTCCGTCGCAAATCCACTGATTTACAGCCTAAGAATGCCTATGTTCAGACAGAGTCTCAGACGATTTAGACTTGTAAAAATTCGAAAGCAGCGGAAAAAATACGTAGTAAATTGAGGATATTATTATGGAGCCTAAGATAACACCACAAACAAAGATTTGAACGTCTAATGT